ACATTAATGTGCCTGATTCAGTGGAGCAACATTTTTTTTCTATTTGAACACAAGCTCTATTTTTGTCTTTTTTGAATGCATCTTTAATACTTGATGCAACAGTAAATTAATTTATTTACTAATCGGGTGATAGAGGAAACATTCTGTTATGTTGTTTTTAAAAATAAAGCCAACTCTTGATGGTAAACAAACTGAGTATCGTACAGTCAGAGTCGGTGTGGATGGCGTCCACAAACTGAGCATCAGATGGGTCCAGGCGGTCGTAAGTGTCAGCTCTTTTAAACATGGGCCCAGCTGGATCGAGACCTGCAAGACCAGACGAAAACGTCTTTTTTTTAAAATAGTACCTAACCTTCAAGAATCAGAGAAAGAAAAAAATTGAAATGAACTCAGAAAATGAAATTATTCAAGTGTGTTGATTTTAGATTTTAAAATGTTAAAGTCAAAAATTCAAGATGTCAGTTTGATAATAATAGTAGGCAATTCAAAACCACCATCTATAAAGAATTATAATTTTGTCTTCATACTGGTTGGTATTTCTATAGTGATCATTTGTCAAACCACTTCATTGAAACAAGCTGTGCAGGAACCAGTCAACAGATAACATTGTGCTGCTGGGTGACAAGTCTTTTGGATCAGGACACTGAGCGTCTCCACGTCCTCAGATCATCTCAAATCAAAGAGTTCAGTTAATTTTAAAACATCATTCTCTTTAAAATAATCCCTGACTGACCTATGAGGGGATTTTTCTATCAGCTCAACAACACCCAACAACTGGTCAAGGTTTGTTATGTATCTGATGACATGAGGAGCAGCTCAGGACTAATGTATCAGTTTACTCAGTTTTGATGACCCCTTGGCTAATAACACTCACCTGTGATTCTTCCAATCTGCCCTTCAAACAGAGTCCCCACAAACCCAGCAACATGTGCACCGAGGCTGACTCCGAGCAGGTGAAAAGACTCAGGTTTACATCCATGGTTCTGTTAGACAAGCACAGCACTGATTCAAAATCAGAGTTACAGTTCACCATTTGAAACAGGTTTATCTCTTAAGTTGTCTCTCAGCAGCTTATTGCTTACTTGTCAACAAATAACTTGTTTGAATTATTTCAGTCTGCTTTTAGAACTAACCACTCTACTGAAACAGCTCTCACCAAAGTGGTCAGTGATTTACTGGCAAATGCCGACATTGATAGTCCCCCAGCACTATTGTTGCTTGACCTTATAGTGCTGCATTTGATACTGTAGACCACTGCATTTTGCTGGACAGACTTGAACATTCACTTGGATTAAATGGAAATTTACTCTCGTGGTTGAGATCATATCTGTCTGGAAGATCACAGAGGGTTAGTTTTAAAAACGAGCTCTCTGCGATAATTACTGTGGGCTATGGGGTCCCACAAGGGTCTGTGCTTGGCCCCCTGCTATTCTCTCTCTACCTTCTGCCTCTTGGTCTTCTTTTGCATCATTTTAATGTGGCCTTTCATTGTTATGCTGATGATTTGCAACTGTACATGCCTTTTTCACTTGGAACCTGAACCAATCTGTCTAACCTTACAACCTGCTTAACTAAAACAAGGAAATAAGATCGTATCACTCCGGTGCTGTCATCTCTCCACTGGCTGCCCTGCCATGTTYGTGCAGATTTCAAAGTGTTGCTTCTCACCTATAAGGCCTTACATGGCCTAGCGCCTCCCTACCTTTCAGACCTTCTCCACCCTTACATTCCATCTCATGCTCTCCGATCTCAGGGCACTGGTCTGTTGGTAATCCCTAAGGTCAGACGTAAAACTATTGGAGGTCGTGCTTTTTTCTTTCGTGCCCCTTCATTGTGGAATGATCTCCCTCAAGACATCAGGCTGGACTGCTCAGTGGAAGTTTTTAAAGCTAAGCTTAAGACCCACCTGTACACCTTGTCCTATGTGTCTTAAATTTAACATTTGTATTTTTTCTTTTTTTCCCAATGTTTTACTTGTTCTTACAATTTCTTTTATATTGATTTTTACCTTTTTTCAAAGCTGTTCAGCCCTTTGTTGAAAGCGCTTTATAAATAAAGTTATTATTATCATGATGCAGAAAACAAAGTAATCTGTTGTGAGCACAGAGATCAGGTGGAAGAGAGTCTGGAGAGGTGGAGATAAGAGTATGCCCTGGAGAGAAGATTACTAGATAATCAAAACTGTACTCATGTCTTGAGTAAATGTATGTGACTTGTTTTTAGATTCTATAATGAATTTTATTGTAAATACACTTTTTAGCTATTGAAATCTGTCATAGATGGTAGGTCAYGTATGTTGTAATGCATGTTAATTGTAATTCTTTTGAATTCTTTCCAATCAACCTGCTAGGGGACTACAAATGAAAAAGAGCTGCTTTTTTTTGGCTAAATCTGGTGTATTTATTTTATGTATTCATGATGATTAATATATACTGTCCCTTTAAGAAATAATTTCAAATTAAACTATTTCTCAGGCAAGTAATACTTTTGTCTTGATAAGTGAGAAATCTTGAAAGGCCCAATTTAAATCTTAAAATACATCCGTTTATTAACAGTAAGAGTTTTATCACTGACATCTGCAGTAATAGGTTTTTCTTACCAGTAGCTGATTGATGAGAACAGAGATCTGCAGAGCCACCTCCTTGTAATTCTCCACCACCACATTGTACGCGAAGGAGGCGCCATAGACCCAATCAACAATCAGAACATTGACATCCTGAGCCGTCAGCAGAGCCTGGGCCAGATCCATCGCCCAGGATGGCTTAGTGCCTGGGGGTCTGGAGGGTGGAGGGGAAAGAAAAAAATGAATGTGCAGAGGAGGATATCAGTAGTCAAGAATACTGAGTCATTTATTTTAAGTGTGTTGTATGGGGTACCGTTTGTAAAGTTACACTGTCAAAAATTACCACCACTATTTTTGTTTTATTTAACCTTTTATAAGAAAAAAAGAACAAATTTATTTTTCAAAGTCAGTTTTTCACCATATGATTCATACACTTATAAATGTCATGGTTTATAAACTAAATATTTAAC